GAGAAAAAGAGGTAGTTCGAAATGAAGCTGGCCCAAAAAGTAGAGATGGAGCCAAAAAGGTACTACGGGCATATCCAGTCAAAGGGCTCTACCAGAGAAGAGGTGGGCTCACTAGTATTTGAGTGAATAGGGTTATAACTGAAAACCTGAGTAAAGCTGATGCATTCTGCGCTTACTTTAGCAGCGTGCTAAGGTTAGACACTGGTGAGTCAAGTGCTTCCCAGCCCTCGGCGACGGACTTAGTGGAGGAACTACTGGTACCTGGAACCAATGATGCCTTGGGGCAGTTCTTCAACAACAGGTAAATGGTTGCTGGCACCCGCTGGCATTTTTCTCCAAGCGCCTACAACCTGCAGGGTCCAAGTATAGAACCTTCGGTAGGGAACTACTGACAACATACCCGGGCATACATCATTTCGGAGATGCCCTTGAAGAGCTTGCGTTTACGGTCTTTACAGACCACAAGCCACTAGGTTATGCGTTGCGGTCAGCATCCGACCGTTACTCACCACGCGAGATCCACCACCTTGACTATGTATCTCAGTTTAATACAGATATAAAACATGTCTTGTGGGAAAACAATCTCGTAGCAGACGCACTCTCACGCGTAAATTCGATTAACGCAAACCAGTTTACCATAGACCTAGAGGCCATGGGTGCATTCCAAGTGGGTGATCCGGAAGTCCTGCAGCTACAAACCAACAGCTCCCTCCGTCTCCAACCAGTACAGTTTTCCACATCGGACCGTACTATCATCGGCAACGTATCACAAGGTTCTCCGCGTTCGTTAGTAACAAAGACTTTCCGTCGACAGGCTTTCCTTAACCTGCATAACCTGTCACAACCTGGTGTACGCGCTTCAGTGAAACTCATCACTGAGCGTTTCGTCTGGCCCAACATCAAGAAGGATATTTGCCAATGGGCCCACGCTTGCCCCTGTATTGATCGATCTGTGAAAATCCTTCCTGTAAAGCCCAGTCATTCCATCTCGGTTCCACATTTCGTGAATTTTACGTTACATTCACCAAACCTCATCCGCCTCACATACATATAGACATTTGACGTTCCACTCCCCTTGTATATTTACACATCAATCCTACCATTTGACTTTGTTTGTTTATCTGCTTCAATTTTTATCCTACTTGTTTTAATCGCGACTTGAGCGCTCACATTTGGCTCGTTCATGTGCAGCGTGACGGTGAGCGTGCTATTCTTACCCAGGCTCATTTTCTTCCATTCAGATTTGTTGAATTACGCTCAAAGTAACACTTGGCTCTTGTGTTCAA